CAAATACTAAATTTTTGTCGGTTTTTCTGGTCGCTCCAGAGGCCGCAATTATGGCCCAAACATTGCGAATTTACATGAAGAAGGGGGTCGGGCCAACGAATAAGTATGCTTATTTTGATAAAGATCGGTCAGTATTTAGCGGGTCAAATAGACCCTGACTTTTGTGTGAAATATGACAACATTTGTATTCTATGGCGTATATATTTACCCGTGGAGCACATAGACCCGAGAAGGTGAAAATATATATAAAAGAGGAGTGGTTGATCTTTAAATTGATATCAATTATATTGTCGTATGTACTCGGATGTGGGAGTTACACGTACTTTTTTTTACAGATGCTTACGTATTCATATATTATTTAGTAACTCATTATCACACTATAGGGCGGAAATATAGCGCTGATCGCTTCGAAATTTTCCACGAGGATACATGTATGGTCAAGGACAACGCCTATAATTTTCGGTGATTATAATAATAATAATATAATAATAATATTGGGATGAAGTGAACCGATAACTTAATTTTTGTGTTTTTCGAGTCGATCTATAGGCCACAATTGAAGGCCGAACATCCCAACACAACCCACGTCGAAGTGAATCTGGACAAGTAATTAGAAGGGCTATACTGAATATTAATAATATTTGTTGACCTCTAGTCGGTCAATAGGGTGCAAATATCGCGATATATTGCCCTAGCTCAGGACAACACCGTAGAAAGTTAGATTTTCGTGTAAGTTGTGTGTAGGCCGACCATATGATAGGCCTCATCCGACTATACTGCTCCACTCACTGGTTTAAAAATATTTTTTTTCAAGGATCAATACAAGGCGTGGATTTTTTAAATAATATTTTTTCAAGGACCTACACAAGCCTTGGATTTTTTAAAAAATATTTTTTCAAAGGCCTACACAAGACCTTCACAAGGCATGGATTTTTATGCTCTTCATCACACTGTGGTACAGGGTATTATGTCTTTGTGCCTATGTTTGTAACAGGCAAAGGAATCGAGATAGACCTTTGGTTCCTTTTGAGAATATGCCTAAAATCACTTTCCGAGTCGATTTATTCATGTCCGTCAGTCTGTTGATGTTAAATTGTAAACAATGTACAGGTCGCATTTATAATCCGATTTGGATGAAATTTGGCACAGCTCATTTCTTTGGCCCAAGGACGAACCCTATTGAAATTGGTGAAATTCGGTTCAGATTTAGATATAGCTCCCATATATATTTTTGTCCGATTTAAGATAAATGTTGTACCAAAGACCCTATATATCTTTCGATTTGGACGGAATTTGGCATAGAGTACTGAATTACGCCAAGAATGATGTGTGCCAAGTTTCCTAAAAAACGGTTCAGACTTAGATATAGCTCCCATATATATTTTCGTCCGATTTAAGACAAATGGTGCACCAAAGTCTCTATAAAATTTTCGATTTGCACGAAATATGGCACAGCGTACTGAACTAAGCCTAGAATGATGTGTGTTAAGTTTCGTGAAAATCGGTTCAGATTTAGATATAGCTCCCATATATATTTTCGTCCGATTTAAGGTAAATGGTGTACCAAAGTACCTATATATCTTTCGATTTGCACGAAATTTAACACAGCGCACTGAATTAAGCCTAGAGTGATGTGTGCAAAGTTTCTTGAAAATCGGTTCAGATTTTGATATAGCTCCCATATATATTTTTGCCCGATTTAAAGTAAATGGTGCACTAAAGACCATAAATATTTTTCGATTTGCACGAAATTTGGCACAGCGTACTGAATTAAGCATGGAATATTGTGTGTTATGTTTCGTGAAAATCGGTTCAGATTTAGATATAGCTCCCATGTATATATTGGTCCGATTTAAGGTAAATGGTGCACCAAAGTCCTCAAATATCTTTCAATTTGCACGAAATATGCCACAGCGTACTGAGTTGAGTCTTGAATGATATGTACTAAGTTTCGTAGAAATCGGTTCAGATTTAGATATAGCTCCCATATATATTTTCGTCCGATTTTACATAAATGGTGCACCATACTCCTACTAATGTTTGTTGCACAACGCATCAAATTGAGACTTGAATGACGTTATTGGGTTTTGTTGAAATTGGTGCAGATACAGCCATAGCTTCCATATTTATTTCGAACCAGTGTCTGATTGAGATAAAATTTTTAACATTGCGGCGTACCGAATAGCGATTTTACTATAAATCATTTTCCATAAATTTGTCTAAATGTGCCCGAATTAAATTAAATTTATCTTAGGTTACAGAAAGAGAGGAGTATGTCCCTTCGAGGGACCATTGATATACAATTGTAAGGATACATATGGGAAATTACAAAATTCTTTTAAAATTCCATTAAAAAAATTTTGAAAATTTTTTTTGCGAGCACATTTATGATTTTTGGTACATAGGTTAAGAAAAATATGCTGATTCGAAATCTGTTCGCGTTCACAAATTCGGATGCTGCGCACAAAAGTTATAGCGGTTTTAAATCTTGTATTTCAAATATATATTAAATGGATTCCTATTCGTTGTAATTCGCGAATTTCTTCACAAATGCTTAAACACCATTGTTTTCTTTGCATACTAGTCAAATCACACTGAAATTCGGTTTAATAGTCGCGAAAAACAAATAGAAACATGAAGATATAAGAAAATAAAATAAATTATTTTTTGAATTAAAACAATTTTTTTTTTTGAATTTTCGATTTTTTTAGTATGGTTAAGAGGATACGGTTTTGCCTTAATCTTCTAAAATATACGACGCTTTCTTCTGCAAATTCTTTTAGATGATTGTTAAATATCGGCAGATTCATCTGATAAGAGTTTCGACGTCATTAATGGCTAAATATATTGCACTTACAATACATATAAATGATCAATATTGAAAAGCTTGCAATTCGCGAATTAATTGAAATCAGTTGATGCGCATGCGATTTTCGTATAAACCGAATCAATGTCTTTCAATAATTATTAATTTTTCAATGTTTAATTTAGCGGTCAAAGTGTGCCACTCGATGCACTTTACTATGCAAAAACCCTAAAAATGGCTAAAAATCACGCAACGTGCATACGATTTTTATGCGCATCCGATTTTAGTAATCTCCTATGAAAATACGCAAAAGGACACCTATTTTAAAAGGATCGGTTAAGAACCGCGGATGTGCCTCCACAATCAATTTTGGATAAAATACGCATATTATTCGCGTATCGATGTATTTTTGACCTATTTCCACGCAGATTCGCGAATTTGACAATACAAGCATAAATGCATGTAAAATTAATTCGAAGAAAACCGCGATTATTTACGCGAATTTGTCAAAATAAGTTTTTGCAGTTTTTCCCACATTCAAGGTACCTATATCCGCCGTTTTAATGGGCGGAATTGAACATGGATGGGCTCATTAGATCCGGCACGTAAAAAAACTAAAATCACGCGGGGTTCCACGGAATTTGAATGGACTTTCTTAATTTTAGACTCAAAAAATATGTTTTTTATAAAAATTTACGCACTAAATTTTCGTCTTTGGAACCCAATTGCAAAGAAGCTACAGTGAGCACATTCATGAGATATACACTAAACGAAGCAGAATCACGAGTTCTACGATCCTATAATTAGTTTATTCTATTGTCTGGATGCGCATCCTAATTATAAGAAAAATTCAAAAAACACCGAAAATCCGGCTTCAAAATGTCAGCATCCATTTTGGGTGGATGCAGTGATTATATCGAAAAATCATACATTAGAACCATATTGTCCATGGGGTATTCTGCAACTTAGTCACTGATCACATGTGTGTGCGTTGTGTAGTTTAGCCACAAATCGGGAACGAACACAAAAAAACTCGTTGGCTTCAACACATTTTCACCCATTTTTTTACATTACCACCATCACAGCTTCCACGCAACTTATTATTTATTACCAATATTTCAAGATTTTGACAAGAACACTTCATTTTATAGAATTGAATTTAAATTATATGCAATATGTTCATATTTCGCGAGTTATAACCTTGCAAACCTCAACTTCAAGGAATTTAAAAGATTTTTGTAATTTCCCATATGTACAATATGCCCGAAGTGGTGAAGGGTATCATATAGTCGGCCCAGTCCGACTTTACTACTTTCCTTACTGGTTTTTCATGCATTCATCCATACAAGGCGTGGATTTGTTAAGGAATATTTTTTCAAAGTTCAGCCAAGGCGTAGACTTTTTAAAGAATATTTTTTCAAAGTTCAGCCAAAGCGTAGACTTTTTATTAAAGAATATTTTTTTCAAAGTTCAGCCAAGGCTTAGACTTTTTAATTTTGCACGTACTAATTTCAATTTGTATATGAAAAAGTATATTTTTGATAAGTTGTTACAATTTATTTCTGTGATTTATTCTTATTTTGAATTTATTCAAATTATTTTTTTTCTTTAACCATTTCCACTGATTTACATTTCATTTTCCCTTCTCTCTTTTCAGTTATTACAATAAAATGCAATACAAATTTTATGAATAAAAAATCATATTTCAAATTCAGTGAAAGTTCATGTTTTTAAGTGAATTGAGAAACAAAATCATATACCTTTATTACGAAGTGTTTTAAAATAAAAAGTAAAAATTGTTTTTGATACTGTGATAATTAAACAAACTAAAACAACAAATAAAAGTTTATAAAAATCCACCGCCACCAAATCAAAAAAAAAAAAAAAATAATCGCTAAATAAATGCTGGCCAAAATTTTGCGTGCAATTAAAACAACAAACCTCAAAAATAAAAAAACAACAACAGCAACAACCAAAAATAACTAAACCAACAACCCAAAACCAAATAAAAACAAACAACCAAACGGAAATCTAACTCTAATAAAAACACCATTTGCAGCAACAACAAAAAAGTTTTTCTGCTACGGGAATAGAAAAATTATCAGCATCCGCATCCTCATCTTTTGGGGTAAAACAAATAATATAACGCGTTACAGAAACAACAACAACAGCAGAAACAAATATCAACATCACCATGTTGCAATCTATGAAATTGCGTACAGATCAACTTTCCGATGCAAATAGCGGCAGCAACAACAACAACACTAGTAGTAATAGTAACTCCAACACAACTGGTGTAGTAATGGTGGACAATGGTCTTGGTACACCATCCACAGCCACATTAAATCCCCAACTTTACAGTCCGACTACCAACACTAATGCCGGGACATTGTCAGCACCTGTTGCCCGAATTGTGGCAGCAACAGCACCGGCGGCACTTGCCACAGCTCATGCTAATGGACTTGGTGTAGTTGTTTACACTAATAATAATAGCAGCAACAACAACAGTAACGGCACTAGTACTACTCCTATCATTGGCAATGGCGACAGTAATCTAGCCGGGCTCGGTATTAACAATAACAATAAACATATGATGATGGTAAACAATAATCATTTAAATAATAGACAACAGCAGCAACAACAACATCCACTACACCAACAGCTACAACAGTATCAGAGCCAGTATTTAGAAACTGCAATGGCTGCTGAGACAGCAACAGCGGTCACAATTAATTCAAGCAAAGTTACAACGGCAGCAGCATCGAAAAGTTTTCATCCCTATTCACGTCCTCCACCACTGGCAACGGGAGCGGCAACAGTAGCTGCCACCCATCAACCCCTCTCACTATTATCAGCATCATCAACAACATCGCCAGCTTTGTGCTTATCGTCCTTTGGCTATTCAGCAACACAAATAAATTCCACCATTGGGAATTTAAAAACAAATGCTGTTACAGCTGTGGCGAACAGCGGCAGCAACAACAACAACAGTGCTACAAACACTTCTACAGCATCAAGTGGATTATTAACTTTGCCTGCAACAACTTCGGCGACGACAACAACAGAATTATCATCACAGTTGCCAACTACACAAACATCGTCAGGAACTTTATTAGCCAACGGTAACAATAACAGCAACAACAATATGGAATACCAACAGCATCAGCAACAACAACATCAATCCTCAGAAACTAATCCGTAAGTTTTGAACATGAATACAATTTTTGTGAAATATTTAAATATAGTGATGTCAATGTAGAGGTTTTTAGAAAAATTGAAATTAAAAAAATATCAAGGGATATTTTTTCAAGACATCAAGGAATACACGGATTTTTTAAAGATTTTTTTAGTCGGGAATTTTTTAGGAATATTTTTTCATTGATCCAACAAGGCGTGGATTTTTAAAGAATATTTTTTTAAAAAATCCACCAAGGCGTAGATTTTTTATAGAATATTTTTTCAAAGATCCACCAAGGCGTAGATTTTTTATAGAATTTGTTTTTCAAGGGAACCATAGAAGGCGTGGATTTTTTAAGACATTTTCTCTAGGCACCGTGGATTTTTAAAGACAATTTTTTCTAGGCACCATAGAAAGCGTAGATTTTCGAAAAAAATAATTTCTCGAGGTCCCGTATAAGACGTAAATGTTTAAAGAATATTTGTTCAATGCACCGACGTATTCGCGCATTTTTTAAAGAATATTTTTTCAAGGCACCATAAAAGAATGTGTAGATTTTTCAAAGAATAGTTTTTATAGAATCGATGGTTTCAGCCTAAATACTCTTCTCTCCTGCAAGGGTACATGTTCCAATCTTCCGCACCATTCGGCCAGTAATTTCGAGAGTTCAAGCACGGCCCGACGTTGGCCTTTACTGAATCCTCGAACAGTATGCAATGGTTGACATTATCTAAGGCCTCGAGCGGCCATGACAGCTCTCTACTAATATGTCCGGTAATGGCGCGCAATGCTGTAGTACTGTGCATTTTACGGGATTCATGTTGGTGTTGGGCTGCTTGAAAACTGCTTCTCGTGAATGGGAGTTGTAGCGCCTCATGTGTCTTTCCTACTAGTGACAGAAGAGATATCGGCCTGAAAAATTACCTTTAGTGGTACTATTGTCATGTAGTAGTAGGGTTCCGAGGCTTCAGGAACTATGTGGGTGCCAAACGATAAACTTCGGGTTCATCCAATTGCTTAAGTATTACCATGGAAATTCTGTCCGGACCCAAAACTTTAGATGATTCTGTGTTCTTATTGACATCTTCAACATATTCCTTCGTAAACTGTAGTGGTACCTCTACGTCTGGTAGGACTCTTATCTGACGTCTGGTCACACTTGGTGTGCTTCGTAAACTGCCAGTAAAAATAGCAGGAACACAGCTGATTACAGACCAAATTTTCTCACCCTTAGGTCTTAAGGGTTGGCAATATGTCGCTTACGTTCATTGGCCAAAATCATTGCACCTGCTGGAAAGCTTGATCTTAATTTGGTTAATTGTCAGGAGATATTTAGCGTGCTGCAGCTGTAGTGACAATTATCTGCAAATTCCTTTCTGCTACCCGAGAGTCTAAGCTCTAAAGCGGTGATTGGAAAACTGTCTCTGAAACCTCTTCATGGTTCAGGAAGGTACGCCGTTCAAATATTATGAAGTTAGGGGTCTAATTATTGAAACGATTTTAGGTAGATAGCCTGATCGGAACGAAATGGTAGATGGTAGACGTCGTCATTGATATAACCTGGCACCACATTGGTAATGTGGTGTTGTGGTAATGGCTTCTTTATCCTTGTAGTGCATTTTCATTCAATGAGCTGGTTAGCAGGACACAAGAAATAGGTAGTTGGCATCACTGTGTGAGTATACCCTCCCCACTCCATAACTGTAAATTGGCAGAAGAGTGTGTATTAGCCATTGGTGTCGTATTTCTGTTTTTACTAAACTAGGAAATAGAAAACTTTTCCTCACTGGGACAATAGGTTCACCCTCCTGTGGGGAGAGAAAACGACAAGAATTAAAACAATCACTAATTCCATAGCTCAGCGGTGTTTTGAGTTAACAATATTATTATTGTGAACACTTGTTGACCACTTGAGATGAGGGAATTTAGTAAATTTTCTTGCTAGGGAAATATAAGAAGTAATGAGGACAGAATTTGAAAAATACTTTTATTGGGAATTATGTATAAATTTGTAGTGATGTGCTATATCGAAAAGAGAGATAACTTTTATATGTCATAATAGGCCCTAACTTATTATGTAGAAAGGCAGAAATGTTGTTAAACAACGTCTAAAATTGGGCGGTTTCCCAGCCGATTTGTACACATCATTACAATACAGGAAGCTTATTCCTTCGTCGGATTGCTTTGCAGAGCTATGGTCTTTAGGATTTTATATTTTATGTCAACTTCAAAGTAGTGGGAAACAATTTTTAAATGTAGGCATTATTGAGATTTACGTCTTACAAGTGATTAAAATTAATCTTCCTACTTGAATATTTCCTCACATTTTGATATCTAGTGACAGTCTCCATTTCGTCAATTGCAAAAGAGGGAAGATTTAGAGACCCATTTTTACACCCTACACCACACTGTGGTACAGGGTATTATGTCTTTGTGCATATGTTTGTAACAGGCAAAAGGAAACGAGATAGACACATGGTTCCTTTTGAGAATATGCATAGAATCACTTTCTAAGTCGATTTATGCATGTCCGTCCGTCCGTCTGTCTGTCTGTCCATATTAAATTGTAAACAAAGTACAGGTCGCATTTATGATCCGAATTGGATGAAATTTGGCATAGGTCACTGATTCGACCCAAGGACGAACGCTATTGAAATTGGGAAAAATCGGTTCAGATTTAGATATATCTCCCATATATACATTTAACCGATTTAATGTAAACGGTCCCTATGTGCCTTTCGATTTTCACGAAATTTGGTACAGCCTAATCATTTAGGTCTAGAAAGTTTCGTGAAAATCGGTCCAGATTTAGATATAGCTCCCATATATAGTTTCATCTGATTTCATGTAAATTGTGCACCAAAGTCCCTATATATCCTTCGATTTGCACGAATTTTTGTATGACGTACTGAATTCCGCCTAGAGTGATGTCTGGCAAGTTTTGACAAAATCGGTTCAGATTTAGATATACCTCCCATATATAGTTTCGTCCGATTTCATGTAAATGGTGCCCCAAAGTCCCTATATATCTTTCGATTTGCACGAAATTTGTCATAACGTACTGAATTAAGCCTAGAGTGATGTCTGGCAAGTTTTGAGAAAATCGGTTCAGATTTAGATATACCTCCCATATATAGTTTCGTGTAAATGGTGCATCAAAGTCCCTATATATATTTCGATTTGCACGAAATTTGGCATAGCGTAATGAATTAGGTCTAGACTGATTTGTGTCAAGTTTCCTGAAAATCGATCCAGATTTAGATATAGCTCACACATATATTTTCGTCCGATTTAATGTAAATGGTGTACCAATGTCCCTATATATCATTCTATTTGGACGAAATTTGGCATAGCGTAATAAATTAGGTCAAGTTTTCTGGAAAGCGGTCCAGATTTAGATATAGCTTCCATATATATTTTCGTCCGTTTTAATGTAAATGGTGCACCAAAGTCCATATATATCTTTCGATTTGCACGAAAGGTGAATAAGGTCTGGAATGATGTGTGTTAAGTTTCCTGAAAATTGGTTCTGTTTTAGATATTGCTCTCATATATATTTTCCTCCGATTTAATGTAAATGGTGCACTAAAGACCCACAGTTTGTCCGATTGCCACACAATTTTGTTTAGTATAAGTTAATCTCTGGCAAGTATCATTGAATTCGGTTCAGATATATATATATATATATATATGTATTGATTTACATAATTTTGTAAGAAGCAACCCAATATCTGACCAAAAGAAAAAATTTAGTATAGATTGTAGAATGACATGTTTTTGGACCTGTTTTTTTGTGTTAATGGTCCTTTAACGTCTGTTACGATTCATCTGTTAAATAGACCTAAAGTGGTGAAGGGTATCATATAGTCGGCCCCATCCGACTTTATTACTTTCCTTACTGGTTAGTTTTGTCTATCCCGTTTTTTTCTCAATTTATTGCCCTCGCATTACTATGCTCTCTATATATTTATCTACCATCTGACTGGTGCCTTCATATAAGGACCAGTCGCTATTTAGGTATTATGAAGTTCCTAGACTCATTTTTCACCAAAAGTGGCTACACCGTAGTGTATTTGGCTACCAGAGGGGAAAACTGCTGGTAGAAAATTTGTCATTGCGCACTTCTAAACTAAGGGACAGATTTTTAGTACTCAGGAGATAAATACCTCGACATAAATCCATATTGAGGTATCACCAAGGTTTGAGTATCTGCATATCTAAACATTATTTTCCAAGTGACAGTAATTTGTTCTCGGGGAATAAATTACCTCTTGTCAGAATATTTCCAATAAACGACCATATTAGGACTTAGTTGACGGTTTATTATTTAAGTATTGTAAAGGCCTCCTCGTAGAAAATTCCATCCACCACAAGATGGAGTATGTACTAAATTTGTTATTCCGTTTGCAACACTTCTAAATTTAGAAGAAAATATCTCTAACAAGCTTTTAAATATGGGCCCCTATTACTCTTCATTTTGTGGAGCACGTTTTTTAACCTAATTGGCTCTAATTTGATTTTTCAGATTTTCAAATCAAAAAGTTATCAACATCGGTTAACATTTTCAGAGGTCTTGGCGACCAAATTTGGTATGCCATATGTATATGGCACTTCCATCAAGGGGTAAGGATGGGGAGACTAAAGTTTCGGATTTCGCCACTGATCGTCATCAGTTACCTTAGTTTTTTGGTTTATTTCGAATATAACGGTTCCGACCCCACTTCATTTTAAAGACATTAGCAGGCGAAATGCACTTTCTTTTTATTTAAGACAGGATGTCCCAATCCTAACATAATTTATAATAATTTATTCTACGAATAAATTTATTTAATTGACAACGTATTTATAGTATGCAAATAAATGTTACGAGTACCATTCCTACTACAAATGCAAATGCATGCATTAGGTAAAACATTTTGTTTTTCTTTTTTTCAAAACATCAAAATAAAAAATAAACTCCCATAAAGTTTAATTTCCGTCTAACTTACATTAACATTCAATTTGGAATGCATGAAATATG